CCTGCTCGGAGCAGCCCTCGCCTGTCAGTGGCCCAGGGCAGGCCCTTGTCCCCCCTCAGAACCAGGTTCTGGTCAAAAATTCTAATCTATTAGCCTGAAGTAGGGACTTTTTTAGGGGGGGGAAAAAAAAGTTATTTTTCTACATGCAGCCAAGCATTGGGGTACAGCCACACACAGGCACAGCATTAAACTAACACCTTGCTTTCGTTATCCCCACCACTCCCCTCACAGACAGGACAGAGATGGAAGCACATTGGTGTATGCTCTTTAATACAAACCATGTCATATTTCTGATGACTTCAGCATGTACAAGATAAAGTCCATAAAAAAAGAAATTGTTCCAGCACAATCTTCCCAATAGCGTGAGCATCACACAACTTCTAGAAAGCCCCTTGTTATCCCCATGTTGCAGTTAGAAGCTCTTAGCTCCCCCTTCTCCCCATAGCAACAGAACAAGATAACTTTGAAATAAAAAGTGGGAAGTGACATCCAATTAGTACACCAGCATTTAAATTAAGGCAAAATAAATAACTGTTCTACATCAGTGACAGGCATTTTCAGAGCAGTGCTGGAGCCCGAAGCCCTGCAGCTGCTGCTCTGCCTCTGTGTGCGAGGGCTCAGAGCTGCCGGGCAGCCCAGCATGGGCTGTGGGGCTGGGCACAGACTCCTTGGTGCATGTTCTCCTGTGCTCTGGATCGTGCTCATTGCAGTGGTGCTGGTGTGCCTCAGCCAAGTCAAGCACATGCTGTGAAAGGACAGCCCCCACCCCAAGCAGGGTTTGGCCATAAGGTTATTTTTATTTTGCCAAGCAACCCACTCTATTCCCCACCCATTTTATCTGGGATTTTTTACACACACACACACACACACACACACACACACACACACACACACACACACACACACACACACACAGTGACTTCTCCATAACAGCCTCCTTGTCTCAGCAGCATCCCAATCCTGGACCAGAGTGAGGGATGATCCACTCACCTTGGGCAGGGACTGGCTGGCATGAAAGGCCACAGCACAGTTCAGGAATTAAAAACCTGCAACTGCCTTTGGAACAATAACTGATAAACAGTTTCTCCACCCAGCTCAGCCAAGGAGAAGTGCCTTGAGTAGCACAGTCCACTTAAAGGAAGGAATTCAGTGTTCTTAGTAGTGTGAACTCTGTGTAGAGTCTCTGTTGGTGGGGAGGGTGTAAAGCAGTTGGACATAGCTGGGCAGAGTTGGCTCCACCAAAAAAAAGTGGCCAGTTCGAGGGACATGACTGTTGGTGCAAATAATAGTACATACCTCAACCATAAATACAACCACAGAGTGAATGCAATCCTGCCAAGCAGCACAAGACACTCAGGGGGAAATAATAATCAGTGTACCACTTTCCCTTATAGTGGAACAGTAATTTAGAGGGAAACCCAAATGGCAAGAGGTAATAGCTCTATTCCACCCCAGTCAGTTAGTGTATTAGTCCCATTTTTTAAGCAATGGGTAAAGGACAGTACCAAGCGTTAAAACAAACTAAATACCCCACACAAAACATACCAAACATAAAACCCATTCAGTTAAAAAACTGGCTTCTCAAAGCCTGTATAAAACCTAGATGCCCTCTTCAGTTGGTGCATAAGAAAATCCTAAAAAAGCATCCGAGGCACTGGAGCTGCTGGCTGCTAGGTCAGGTGTGCGGGTGATGGATGCAGGTATCGCTTCTTGGGTGAACTCTGGATCAAAGTGTCGCAGATCAGCTGGACCGGCCTGAGTCAAGAAGCAGAGACATTTTAAGTGAGCAGACCCCAAGTAACCACTTGTGTTCAGACAGTCTAACACTCTTCCAAAAGCAATGTCACCACTGCACTTGCAACTCCTAACCTGCACTTCAGCATCCCTCAGTGTCAGCATAAGAGTTTTGGAGAGGGTTCCTTTTGTACCACTACATAACAAATATCAACAGAAATACCCACTTACCACATTGGGGTTAAACGGAGGAGTAATCCTCTTTTGGTACAAGTCATCCCAGTTTATTGGGCTGAAGAACACATGGTTCTTTATCTCAAGCTGCATAGAAAAGAGGGGGTAAAAATTGTTAGTATTCTGTCAACCCTCCTTTTCCAGCACGTGCCAGCTGGTTTCATAGCATTAAGTGGTTGAAGCAAGACTTGGAGCTACCACATATCCATATGGAGGCCATGCAGCAACTGAACGCAGGAGGGTCATGGTCCAGTAATCCCTTGAAGGGAGATGACCCCATCACACACTGGTGTCCTAGCTTCCCACCACACCTTGAATCATAGTGTTTCCCTTTGGAAATCCAAAGTCCATGTGCTGCTTTTAGGGGGCTGGAGAGACATCAGCACACATGGAAAGCTACTTCCAAGGCAGTGCTGTTATAAAAGAAAGGCTCAGGATAGAAAAAGTTCCCTATCCATCCTCTCTCCTGATCCTAATGGAGGCAACCTACAAAGTCTGTCTTGGCACCCAGCCTCCTCTTCTGGTCCTTGTGGAGAAGTCCCTGGAGGATGTCACAGGCTGCCACAGTCTTGCTTCCTTGAATCTGGAGTGGCTTGTGCAGAATGTTGTCATACATCTGAGACACATCCCGACTGTAAAAAGGAGGCTAATTTGAAAGAGAGGAGAAGCAGCCAAGTAAAACATGAGCTAGTACCATCACGGGTCAAAATGAGTCCTGCAGTAAGTAGATGAGAGAGACTTGCCATATCTCAGATATCAAACAGATCTCTGTTCAAAGGGCAATGGTATGATTGAAACAGGTCATCTAATGCAGGATTTAGTTGTCTGTGTCATGTGAACACCAGACCAACCTCATATCACAGGTTTCAAAAATAAATTCTCCACCATGTAGTATAAAACAGACAGCTTCTGAACTTACTAGTCCAAACAGCATCTCATAGAGGACAGCTCCTAGGCACCACCAGTCGACTGTCCTGTCATATGGCTGCTTCTTTAGCACCTCAGGAGCCAAGTACTGGGAAGAGTCAGAAGTAAATATTTGAGTCAAATTATAAAGAAAAAGCTTTGTCTTCCTAAGTATACAAACCTGGCTGCAGTTCAAACTGAGCAAATCCATTGGTAATCATAGATGCATTTCCTACTATGCTTTGATAAAAGTCTGCACCTGCTTCAGAGCAATGGGTTTGAAAGACACCTACTAAAGCACCCCAAGTGTTTTTCTGGGCTACAGAAGGTTCTTTTCCTATAGAGGATTTGTACAAGGATTTGCCACCCACTACAACTCAACCAGCAACCCTGTCCTGCACTGACATTTTACACCTCTAAGAGGATCCTGTGGTTTTGGGAAAGCTGCAGTTTTCAGTCTCAGTAACTCTGTCCAAAGCAGGAAAACTACCAATAACCACCACCAAGGAGCAACAGGCAAGAATTCAGGCTGCCTGCAGAACAAGCAGCACATCAAATCTGGGTCTGTGTATTATCAGGCTTCTTATCTATGACAGGGAGAAAAAAAAAATAAAATCAAACACACATTAAAAAAAATCCACAGACCAAAGCTCAACCATTCCTGCTTGGTTCATGCTGTACTATTGCGTAAGTCCTCACTGAAAGCAGAGGGCTACCACCAGGAAATTCCTGCCTGCTTCTGCTGAGCTGGAATATTGAAGGGTGTCTGAGGAAGGGCAGCAAGACAAGCTTTATTACCCAGGCCAAAGTGCTACCAAATTCCCTATCTTGGTAAGAAGCAGGAAAAAAGCCTCCAAGAAGCCAAATTGAAGATAGGTTTTAGCAAAATCTAGTTGAGCTGCACTGGAGCAAAGGCATTTCCTCCTCACTGAGCAGTGTTCACATTCCAGAGGAGAGCCTGGTCCTCTCTGCACAGTGTGTTTTGCAGCTCCTGCATACCAAGGACATGCAGAAGAATACAGCAAGGTCCTGTGCATGTCAGTATCAGCAGGTAAACAGCCTGCTCACAGGCTCCCGGGGTCAAGGTTGTCTCCACAGCCACCTGGAGCAGCACCAGTTCCACAAGATTGGCTGTTTCCAAGGACTCCTGATAGCACAGCAAATTTAGAGTACTAATCAGCTGCTGCAGGTAAAACTGTCTGAGTAGGGAAGGACTTATCTGAACTCCAACTTCAGGTTGATAGCCTCAAAGAGCCCAAGATGGTCAAGTCACAGAGCCCATATTCTGAGATGCTGAGCACCCACACAAGTCTGAGATCCAGAGCAGCAAGTCCCTGAAGGCCTGCATCCCCCACGTCACAGTGAAACTCCAGTACAGGCTGTACCTCGGGAGTGCCACAAAATGTAGAAGTTGTCTCCTCTTGCTCCATTCCTTCTTTGCAGAGTCCGAAGTCTGTCAATACTATGTGTCCCTGAAAAAAAGAGGGAAATTTTAGCCCACTCTTTCTAGAGAAAGGAGACAGGATTTCCAAGCATTGGCCCCCACTTTGCATCTCATCGCAGTTTTAGTTCCCCACTGCTCATCTGCTTCCCCTCCCTCACCTTCTGGGCATCCTATATTACAAGCACATGAGAAAGTAGAGTCTAGATTTCTTTTTTTTTTTTTTTACTTGTCTAAAACTGCATAGCTATGAAGAGATCCAGCACTGCTGTGCTTTGCTGCTGCTTTATCCCAAAGCCAGTTAATATAGCAATCATTACCAGAGTAGCAAAAAGGACTTGCTCTTAGCACCCCCAATTCCTGTTCACAAGTCAGGTCCCAGCTTTTGAGAATGAGCTGAGAGGGCTCCAGGCATGCAGTTCTGCAGAGGGTAGGCTCCCTCTTGCAGCATCTGCACAGAAATGCAGTGGTGCATACATATAAAACCTTATGCAGAACCATAGCCCTCTGTTTATGGTCCTGATGCTTTTAAAGCCAGAAGGAGGGTAGCACAAGCTGTGAGCATACCTGGCAATCCAGGAGAATGTTCTCAGGTTTTAAGTCCCTGCAAGAAAAGGAAAAAAAAAGGAAAAAAAAAGTGTTGTTTGAGCAGATTTGGCCAGATATTTAGAAAAGCCAGATCTGAAACAGCATCAGCTAAGAACAGGAGCTAACAAAACTTCCCAGTCCAGTTCATCCAAGATGTTCCCAAAGTGCAGATTCCCACCCCTGTTGGGTATCAACATAGACACACAGACATAGAAAGACTGCTGTCACACAGGATCAGGTGTTACCCTGCATTTTGCTGCATATCTATGCATAATAAGTAAGAAATAGTCTCTCAGTAACCATTTGAGCCAGATTTATTTTAGATCTTTACACTTAACCATGCTCTCTCCTTCCCACTATCAGACTGGGAGTATTTCAGGTCCCTCATGCAGTATAAATTTCCAGCAGCACAATGCCCTGTCTGACGTAGGAGGTGCTCCAGCTACTCCAGCCCTGCATTTTGCTGGGCCTTTCCCCCCCAGCACTGCACACAGCCTGGCTGGGCAGATCTGGTGTCCCTGTTCTCTCCAGCAAGACTCAGGCCTTACCTGTAAATGATGTTTAAGGAATGCAGGTATCCAATTGCACTGGCAACTTCGGCAGCGTAGAATCGGGCCCGGGGTTCACGGAAACAGCGCTCCCTTTGCAAGTGGAAGAAGAGCTGCATGGAAATAAGAGGGTTAATCATTTCTTCTCCAAAAAGCTGAAGGATATTTGAAGCAAACCTGAAAGCCAGCTACTCAAGTGAAAGCTTATTTGCAGCAAGTAGCACATGGACCAAATAAGCCCAAACCAAGTCACTTCAAACAATCTAAACACCTTTATAGAAATTGTTTCATTTGTCCTCTTCTTATGTCACCATCTCACTTAAGAACTCATCCCCCTAAAAAATGGTCACCTGCTAATCCAGTCAAGCTTGCTAGATTGCTACAACCCCCAGACTGATTACAGTGGTAGTATGGCCATGAAAAGTGGCACATGCACAGAGCTGAACCCACTAGGATCCCCAGTATGAATCTGTTTGGGCAAGACATCCATGTTAACAGTATCTCCCAGCCAGTTTCAGATCGCACAGAGAGAGACAGCTGAAAAGTAAGCCTGTAAGTGCACTTACCTCTCCTCCATTTACATAGTCAAGCACAAAGTAAAGCTTCTCTGAGGTCTGGAAGGAGTAGTGGAGCCCCACAAGGAAAGGGTGCTTGACATTTTTCAGAAGCACATTGCGTTCTGCCATGATGTGGTTTTGCTATCAAAAAGCAGGCAAGGTGTTAGGGTTTCAGGCAATGGACCGGTCCAGTCCAGTTTGCTGCAGAGGTTCACTGCTGTTTTCAAAACAGGTGGAAGCTGGGAGCCCAAGAGGGTCACCTCCAGCCCCGCTCTTTCCTATCTGATCTGATTTATCTCAGTTTTTCTCCATGTTCCCATGGCACAGAGAAATTCATGTTTAACATATGAGTTGTCTACATGAATGTCAGTCACAAGATACCTCAATTGAATTACCAGGACAGCTCATATACTGATCACTATTTGCAGAAGTAGCAAGGAGAGCAGACATACCTCCTTTTTCTTTAGGATCGTTTTCTTATGCAAGACTTTCACTGCATAAAAAGTCCCATCACACTTGCGTTTGGCCAGGAGAACCTGCAACAGAAGGTCCTGGTCACAGGTTTCATTCTCACCTTCTGCCATTTGGTTAGTTTTTCCTCATTAGCTCAACACTGTGGTGAGTGATTATACACAGAGTACAGCTTCAGAGGGTCAGGTACAAAGTTTTAAAGACTGAGCTCCAGCCCTCTGACTTCCCAGCGCTTTCTCATTGCTGGAAAAAACACAACATCTCCACATACTTCTCTTACACACCCAATAGAAAAGAGTTTTGGAGCATTTGGGGGTCAGTCCCATTGTTATCTCATAACGTAGAGATTTGTCTGGAGATCTTTTGCCAGCTGAACAAGCTTGAAGCTTCTTTTTAATCAAGTACTGCTCCTCACCATCACCACCCTGAGCATAAAACACCTCACACTTCTGTCCTTGGGCTGCAGGACAACTTAAAGAATGGGCTATGAAAACCCTATCTCAGGCCTCATCTGGTCTCAGCCCAAACTCCTCAGGTGAGGTGCAAGCAAAGAGCACAGCTAGGAACTCCTTCAGCAAGAAAGTTTCTTTCCAAGCTGCCTCTAAAGAGCTGCAGCCCACCTGTACAAACCCACTTACTTTTCCAAAGCTTCCTTTGCCAATAACCTTCAGGAAGTCAAAGTCTGTTGGCTTGGCACTGTTGGGCAAGAATGAAACAAGTTAATGTTTCTGGGAGAGAAACATGCAACAGCAGCACTGCCATCAAAGCAGAGTTCCTCCTTGGAAACACGAGTGTTTGTGAAACGGATTAAAGGGCACTGGACAGGTGCCCCTCGCTCCCAGAGAGCAAGGGATTCACACTGTGTGTGTTGGTGCACCCAGCAGAGGATGAGCAACCCCTCAGCTGAACACAGCACCAGGTGAAAGCACCTGTCAAGACCAAGTGGCACAGCTTATACCCATTTCTAGAGAAATATAGTCAGGGACCCAGCAGTGATGAGGAAGATCTTCCCTCATTACCTCTCAGGAGAGATGGGACAAGGGGCTGCAGACAGACAGGAGAGGATGATTATGATAACAGGGACCAGCTATTGCTGAATGTCTTGAAAACTGGTGCACTAGCAATACACATGGTATTAAGGGCCAAGTAATTTAATTGTTAGGACTTTTGCAGACACCACCCACACGAGAGTCAGGTATTGCCCTGCCAAACCTCTTCACTGCACAGCCCACACACTACCTGGCTTTTGCAGGGAGCTTACTTTGGGTTAGCAGAAGGTCCAAGGTTGATGTTGTCAGTTGGTGTTGTAGGCTAGGGAGGATAACAATAACGTTACTCACAAGGACCATGCTACAGGTTGTGTTTTCCTTTCCTCACTACATCATCAGATGCACAGAGCCATTGATAAACACTCTGAGTGTTTATGCAAAAGGCAGAGCAGATGCTTTGTTAAGCTTAAGTGACAGGGAAAGGGAGAACAGAGCTATGCACTAAAGCAGTATCATCCCAGAGCTGGAGGCTGTCCTAAGCTAGACTCTGTGCTGAAGTTCTCATCCCGTACTTGCACAAAGAAAAGGAGTACTAAGCAACTGCTTGGCTCTTGACTTGAGGCTTTCAACACATGTTGTGCTGCCAGAGGAAAGGCATTGCATGGCTCAGTTGCTCACCACAGCACCAATGAGGCACTCCCCACAACCTGTGCTAGGCAAAAAGCCCTGTGCACAGCTCCAAGACAGAGGAGCACTCCTGCAGCAGGACATTGGCATCACCCCCAAGTCCTGCAGCCCTCTGCCCACTCCCCATTAAGGCCCAAAACTGCCAAGTCTGAAGCCTTGGAAGTGGCCTTATGCACACCCATCTCCACAGAGGTATGGTCTCCCTCTTCCCAATGAGAGAGAAGTATGTACATACACATCTTCCTCTTCTTCCCATGCCCCAGGAATTTTCCCCTTCTCAGACTCTGGGAGCATTGTGCCTTGTCCAAAATTTTATACAGGGCTTCCCTGCTCTCCTTTTTCTCCACCCAGCATCACTCACAAAGACAAGGCAACAGTAAGACTCCTAGCAAGCTAACACAGACTCTCCCTGCTTTTCTCCTACAAGCACCAGCCCCTCTCCATCCTAATGATGAGGACCTGCTGGCTTAGAGCCCTGATCTCACCTGGGTGCTTTTGTCTGGGCTCCGGGAACGATCCATTAAAAAAGCGACTCTTTCAGCACTTGGGAGGAAAAAGAGCAAAAGCCAGTATTGAAAAAAAAATCCAAGAGAGAAACAGCTTCATCCCATTACCCTGCCAGGGACCAGCGCAGACCCCAGTGCATGTTGCCCTCCATCATAGGAGACCTCAGCTGAGTTCCCCAGTGCTGCTGCTCCCAAGGGGTGGGGGTGCCCGTGCCTGGGGGAGGCAGAGAACCCCATGGTAGGTGCATGCTGACAGGAGATGGTGCAGAAAAAAGGATTCCTGGGTGCACAAGTGATTTGAAAAAGCATTAGCATATTAAATGTCACAGTCAGCCCTTGATTTGCAATGGCAGCAACTGGTCAGGGCACTGACATGTGAAGACCAGCACAGCTTCGGCAGCAACAGCATCAGGGCTAGATAGGGCTGCAGCCCTCCTGGCCATGGCCAGACCCCTCTCAAGGCAGATACAGCCCCCTCCCCCAAACAAGGATGCTGCAGCACCCAGCCCTGCAACCCAAGGAGTGTCCCCTCAAAGCAGCCAGGAGAGTCCAGCTGGGTCTGACCACCACATGCCATCTGGGCTGGCCGCAATGAGAGACCATTCCCCAGACCAGGCCAGATCAGGGCAGTTTGGGACTGTTGGCATTGCAGGGAAGAGGGGCTGGCTGTGGCAGCCAGGGAGGGCTCATGGAGCAGAGGCATTAAAGCACAGGGCTCTTGTCTACCTAGTGCGGTCACTGCTGGAGCAGTTGGACTTGAACACCACTTGTTGGTGCAGACCCACCCTGCTGGAGCATCACTGGGGAGGGACAGGTCCTGCCACCCCAGGGAATCCTCCCCTTCATTTTAAAGGTTCCCCCCACTCCTTGCAAAAGCCAGGATTAAAGAGATGACAGAAGAAACCTGTACTCTTCCTCCCTGTCCCAGAGCACATTGTCCATTCCCCCTCAGCCCCACCAAACTCTCCTACACTGCAGGGAAGCTCTGAGGGCTCCCGTCTTCCCCAGCTACCCTCCACCCTTCCAAAAACAGGGCCCAAAGATCCCACCAGCATCCCTCAGATCTCACCTGTGGGTGCTCCCCTTCTCTGCCCCCATGGACCACCAGGCACAGACCCATGGCCATCCCAGAGCCACCCTCATCTGCAGCCAGGCTGACCATGGCAGGAGATGCTGGGCAGCAGCGGATACTGGTGGCTGTTCCCGAGGACTGCCCACATCTGGCCGGTGCCAGCCCGCTCCATTCACCACCCAGGCAGCACGGGGGTGATCAGGCTGAGCTTTTAAAGGGCCCTCATCCCGCTGGGAGGTTTTCATACTCACTATGAGCAGAGCCTGGAGCTGGAGGCCTTGATGGTTTGTCCTATCCTCTCACGGCTGTGCTTGATGAGTTCTGCGAGGAAAGTTGGAGTTCCGAAGCCGATTAGCTGGCGGCGTGATCACAAGTGCACACAGGCACGCTTGTTCTTCACTGACCTTGCTCTTCTCTCCACAGCCGCCCTCCTCCCCCTTCCACCCACATACCAAAATAACCAGGAAATTATAGGAACCAGGACAGCTCCCCTCCCACCCCAGCCAGGAGCCCTCAATAGCTCACAGGACAGGGATAAGTACCACAAAACAGACACCCTCTCCTGTAGTAGAGGGGACTTGGGCTAAAGCATCACTGTCAAGCCTTCCTGAGCCACCCCTGGGTCCCCAGGGGGGACAAGGAGAGCGCTCACAAGGATGATGTTGTACTGGAATACGTCACACACTTGGCACTTCCACTGCCCCTTTCATTCACTCTCAGTAATTAGGGACATGAATGAAACCTTTCAGGGCGCTGCAGGAGGTAAGCCAGCACACGCTCACAAATACACACACGCACACATGTTGCAGCAAGTGACTTGCCCAAGGACACACAACCAGTGCCAGAAGCTGGGATTCCCATTGCAGAGCATCCCTGCTGTTCATCCATGCAGGTGGTTGCCACCACCCATCATCAGTGCCTCTCTGTGAAGGGAGAGATGAAGCCCTGAGCCTGGTCCCTGCTGCACAGGCTGAGCAAAAGAGTAGCCCAAGAATTACAACCTGTATGGAAGAGCTCCTTGTTTTGCTCAGGAGTAGATAACAAAACTATTCCAAGACTCAGTTTTACTCCCTGGCTCAGCTCTAGTTTTGCTACTGGAGGGAAGAAAAGAATCAAAACATTCACAGAAATGTACACTTTCCCCTCCTCCCCTAAAAAAGGGGGCTTTGTAAATACAAGCCATTTGTCCTCCTGGAATAGTTCGTCTACAGACCAAGGAATTGGCAGCGCAGACTGCCAGAGCCCATTTCCCTGGGCAGGGAGTTTGCAGAACAACAAGAAGTTTTGAGGTAAACACAAGGCCATTGACAGAGCCCTTCCCACATGGGTCTTAGGATCTGCCAGACGGAGGAACCTGCACACTCCAGAGAGACGCTGAACTGGGCACCACGGGCAGTTCTGAGTACAGACCTGATGAGGAACCAAGAAATAGGCTATGGTTTTATAGTTTCTGAATGGATGAGAAAAGGAAATTGGGAATTCAAGGAAAAAAATCCACAAACCATTCAGTGACAGAGCTTACAACACCAGGCTGGTCCGAGACCCTGACCTTGTCCCATACTTCACCCTGCAGCAGGTACAAGAGCTTGTCCCAGCAGACACCCACCAGCAGGGACAGCATGCAGGCAGCACCCAGTCGGATCAATCCTATCTCCTCCCACTGGGCATAGTCCTTATTTCCCTGACAGTCTGGCTCTCTAAGGTCTACTGAAGGTCATCCAATGCCTGCCTAGGGGCTGCGTCTATCCCACAGGCTGCTCAACAGATTCCATGGTCACAGCAGAGGTATGTCAGCCATGCCTTCCAAATTGAACCCCCACAAGCTGCTTTTTCACCCAGGGTCAGCTTGCTGCCATAGGCACTGTTCTGATCACAAACCCAGGGGAAAATAAAAAACTCCCTCCAGCAGTAGTGGACATGTCACAGATTAGGGAGCATGTGGGTAAACCACAGAAACACATCTATCTTGCTCAGAGGTATTTGCTGGCAGCACAGGATGCAGGACAAGTTCCAAACTTGCTCCAAGTGGCTTGTACAAGGCTGCGTTAGCAGGGTCTCCACAACCTGCAGCCAGGCAGGAGCAGCTCCGCTGAGCAAAGGCTGCACAGCTCTTCCAGGGACACAGCCTGGCAGCCCGTTCATGCTTCCCACCACCAGCTCCATTCTGCTCCACTGCTTCTTTGCTGTAAGTGAAGCTGCTCAACAAGTCCCTGCTGACCAAGGGACTGTTTTTTTCCAACAAAGCTATTTCATTAAACATGCTTCCTCTGAGGCATTAGTCTCTCTTTCTGCACTGAAATACCACACTCATTTTTAGGATATGTATATTCCCCATCCCGTATCACTCTCTATTCAGGCTCAGAGCCACCTTCCTCAGCCTGACCACCTTCAAAGTCAGGTTAGTGTCTAGTTTAAGTCTCCTGAGCAGTCAAACAGGCTTTTCCTTATCACTAACAAACCCTACTCCCCCTAAAGCACGAAGATTTCCTGAGCATGCACACGCACTGAGCAACAGAATCAGAAATAGGTCACGAAAATACGCTGGAATCCTTGGTTATACATGCCCGGCTGCATCCTTCCTTGTGCCTGTTGGGGCAGCAGGGATGCTCCAGGCACGACCAGGGCCACAGAGAGCATAAGCAAGCAAGTCTAGGAGTTTCCTGATATGATGTGACTATCACACACTAGCTCACAGGACAGGGATAAGTGGAGCTGCACCCCACACCCCCCGCCCAAAGACCATTTCAACCCAACACCTGGGCCAGAGGCAACCCCCAGGCAGCAAGCACCCGCTCGCACAACACAAAGCTGCTACTTACAAGTTGGAGCAGTTACCGCAGCTAAATCTCCCCCCACCAAATGTCCCTCAGTAACATACGTTTTCTTCCCAGCTCAGCACAAGCAGCTCCCTCTTCCTTCAGCAGTTCTGCCAGCAGTGACCCACATTCCCATGCTAGCCCAGCGTTATTTGCTACAAACACATTACTAATGCAACGCGTACCTTGCACAGAGAGGCAACCTCATAGACTCGTCATCTGCAAGCTGCCTCCCACCCTCTCCCCTGATGTCACTGCTCTCGGCGTTGTTTCCTACCTAACCTAGATTGCAAACCCCTCCGAGCAAGTGCCTCGTCCTCTCCTGCTCAGGGAAGGGCTAGTTGCCAGCATGGGGAGGCAAGGAGGCCTGGCAGGCTGTCACCGGGACAGCAGACAATGTTCTGGAAGAAGCACAGGGTTTGGAGAGGTGGGCGTTAAGAGAGGGACACCTGAGGCAGCCCAGAGCTTTCACCCAGCATAGGGGCTGCACACAGCATAAGGGGGAGATGCCCCAGTTTCAGCTCAGAGTAGCAGCACAGGGGGAGATGGGAAGGAAGACTCTTGCAAACATGTGCTTTTACTGGCAAAAAAAAGCAGCCCAAGCTTTCCTTTGCTACAGATCTAAGAGATAGCTCCAGGCCAACACTGAGCTCCACTTTCATTCCTATTGAGACACTACAGCACACAGCAAGTCCAGGAAAAGGTTAGGAAAGAATTTAAAAGACTTCTTGACTTGAGAAAGCTTACTTAGCTGCCCTCTGCAGAGCTCCAAAATTGGCTTGTCCTGTTCTCTCTTGAGGATCCTTTCCCCTCCACTTCAGGGACATTGCAAACCAGAGCAGGAGCCCAAGCCAAGCAGCCCTGGCTCTGAGCAAACTGAAGCCCACAGGCACACAACCCTCCAGATTTTAGAGAAAAGCTACATGTAAAGCTGGAAAAAAAGCACAGCAAGTGGCTAAGGCTTGCAACATTTTGCAAAAAATAATACTATGCAAATAGAGAAGAAAGCATCAAACACACCTGGGAGCACATCTACCAGCAGAGGCTGTGTCCTGAAGCATGGGAAGCAGCTCACAGCCAGCAAGCACCGAGACCCCTCATCCCCCACACTTCCCATCCTCACACCA